TTCAAAGGTTTCCTAGCAGTAACAATGGTAAATAAATTACTCACTGCAAAATGTTATACTTATTATGGTATTCAATAGGACAATTTTCTTTTTTTTTTTTAAATTTTTTTTTAATGTTTTTTTTATTTATTTTTGGGACAGAGAGAGACAGAGCATGAACGGGGGAGGGGCAGAGAGAGAGGGAGACACAGAATCGGAAACAGGCTCCAGGCTCTGAGCCATCAGCCCAGAGCCTGACGCGGGGCTCAAACTCACGGACTGCGAGATCGTGACCTGGCTGAAGTCGGACGCTTAACCGACTGCGCCACCCAGGTGCCCCTCAATAGGACAATTTTCAAAGGGAAAGAATATTTTTACCCTCTAGGTGTGCTCTAAAAAGCAAGAGTCTGAATATGTGTAATTTATAGTCTTTCCTTGAAAGCAATGATAATTTTAGATATACCTTATTTTATTTTTTAATGTTTTTTTTTAATTTTTTTTAACGTTTATTTATTTTTGAGACAGAGAGAGACAAAGCATGAATGGGGGAGGGTCAGAGAGGGAGACACAGTATCTGAAACAGGCTCCCGGCTCTGAGCTGCCAGCACAGAGCCCGACGCGGGGCTCGAACTCACGGACGGCGAGATCATGACCTGAGCCAAAGTCGGCGGCTTAACCGACTGAGCCACCCATGCGCCCCTGATGTTTATTTATTTTTGAGAGTGGGTGCATGCACACAAACAGAGGAGGGGCAAAGAGAGAGGGAGACACAGAATCCAAAGCAGGCTCCAGGCTCTGAGCTGTCAACACAGAGCCAGATGCGGGGCTCCAACCTATGAACCATGAGATCATGACCTGAGCTGAAGTCAGATGCTTAACTGACTGAGGCACCCAGATATACCCCTATGCCCCATATGCCCCTAGATATGCCTTATTTTAACTAATTTGTCCTCAGAATCAGATTCTAAAAGGAGGCATTTTTCTAGGTACTAATGAATAGAAAGAAAATATGGAGAAAAGTCACCATCTGAGTATTTGCATGTTATTTCCATCCTGTCTTTAGTTTCAAATCCTGTGAAAGAGAATAGAAACATCATTTATTCAATCTTATTATTAATTTGGAATCTCCAAGGTCTTGCCTTGATTGCTCTTCTGTTTAACTTAATAACCAATGTTTTTCAAGAAATGGAATCAAAGCTACATAAAGACACATCTGAGATAGAAGTTGGAGAAGGAAAAAGAGGTCAGGTGCTAGATATCAATATTGAGGAGGTTTCCTCCACCCAAACTGCAAAGGGTTTATATGGAACACATCCAAAAGTGTCAGAACAGGAAGAAGGAATAGTAAAACAACCAAGTGTTTCTCCCTAAACCTCTTGTGCACATTATATTTGCACAAAAAACATTTATTTATTTTAATTTTGTGTTGTCATTAAGAAAAATACCTTAAAAATATAATGCAAATCTCAGCTCTCCTTGTCAACTTTCCCCATATCTGCCTTACCCCACACTTGGACTCACACTGGCATTTGTATACAATAGAAGCTCATTCTGAAAGCCGGGTTTGCATTGTTTTTGTCCCCTCATGTATTTCAGTAAAGGTAGAAATACACATGTACAAAACTGTATAAGGCTCTTTTCATTGAGATCTGTTTCTTCACATATTATTTCTAATTATCAATCCATTGCCTCTTAAAATTTTGTGCATTAAACAAAAAGTATGTTAACCCTAAAGTTAGGGCATGAGAGATTTATTTCAGAAGGTATGATCCATAAATTGTAGCATTACCCTTTTTGGGAAAGTGAGGAAATTTAGTCTTTAACACTATAAAATATTGCTCACTGTGTTCCTTTAAAAAAAAATTTTTTTTTTTAATGTTTATTCTTTGAGAGAGGGGGAGAGAGAGAGAGAGCGAGAGAGAGCATACAAGCAGGAGAGGGGCAGAGAGGCAGAGACACAGAATCTGAAGAAGACTCCAGGCTCTGAGCTGTCAGCACAGGGCCCGACATGGGGCTCGAACGCAGGAACTGGGAGATCATGACCTGAGCTGAAGTCAGACGCTTAACTGACTGAGACACCCAGGTGCCCCACACCGTGTTCCTTTTAAAAGACCGAAGTGTGATTTCTCTCTATGTAGACATAGGTGTGGGTATGGACATAGACAAAGGTGTGTTTGTGTCTACAGTTAAGAGCCTTTCTGTAGCTTACAAAAAGCCCTTTATCTCCTACAGTGGAAGGTCATAGCTGAACAACAGCCTGAAAACCTAGTTCTTTGTTTGCTCTCTAGAAACCTTTGAATGCTCAGGCAAAGCAGGTATATTATGCAAAAGCTAGGGCCCTAGTGTGCATCCTGAAACTTGGGACAGGGAAATTGGGATGGCTACTCCTGAAGATCTTGACTCTACATCCTTCTGGCCTGGACCCCCTGCGGCTGCAGAACTGATTCACATTTTTCCCTGTTAAGAGAAGCTGTTCTGCTAGAAAATGCTTCAGGGGGTCTCTCTCAGACAAGCTACTAAATGTTCCCCTCAGAAGTAACTTCCACTCCCTTTCCTGTCTGCCAGGCCAACAACTAGAGTTAAATCCCTGCATAAACTTCCAGGGGACATGGTGGTCTGTGAAGGAAGAATAGATATTGTAAAACCAAAGAATTGCAAGAATCATTGGCCTGTACTTGGGACTGGATGTGGAGTGTAGGTGACCAACGTGTACAGAATGTAAAACTGGTCATTCAAGAATCATAGGCTCTTGACAGCATTTGACCCTGTATTAGTCTGGGTTTTCCAGAGAAGCAAAACCAATCTTTTGTTTATATATATGCATATGCGTATGTATGTATATATACGTATATACACATATATATTGTTAAAGTAAACAGGGAGGCCATTAGACTGGGGTGATTTCTAATGCCTTGGCAGCCTAAGGAAGCAAACCCAATCTAAGCCTGCCAGTGCCTCAAGGTTAAGAAATCAAAAAACCTGAGGACAACCAATTACAAACAGCCAATTAGATTTTCCCAAGTAAGGCAACTTGCCTGAGCTATAGCCAATCAATTAATTTCCTTGCTTTGCTTCTGGGTCTTTCCTATAGCTCTTTTTTTTTTTTTTTTTTTTTACTCCTATGCATTTTATTTATTTATTTATTTTGAGATATCACTGAAAATTTATTTATTTTTTCAATATATGAAATTTGGGGCGCCTGGGTGGCGCAGTCGGTTGAGCGTCCGACTTCAGCCAGGTCACGATCTCGCGGTCCGTGAGTTCGAGTCCCGCGTCAGGCTCTGGGCTGATGGCTCAGAGCCTGGAGTCTGTTTCCGATTCTGTGTCTCCCTCTCTCTCTGCCCCTCCCCCGTTCATGCTCTGTCTCTCTCTGTCCCAAAAATAAATAAACGTTGAAAAAAAAATTAAAAAAAAATATATGAAATTTATTGTCAAATTGGTTTCCATACAACACTCAGTGCTCATCCCAAAAGGTGCCCTCCTCAATACCCATCACCCACCCTCCCCTCCCTCCCACCCCCCATCAACCCTCAGTTTGTTCTCAGTTTTTAAGAGTCTCTTATGCTTTGGCTCTCGCCCACTCTAACCTCTTTTTTTTTTTTCCTTCCCCTCCTCCATGGGTTTCTGTTAAAGTTTCTCAGGATCCACATAAGAGTGAAAACATATGGTATCTGTCTTTCTCTGCCTGACTTACTTCACTTAGCATAACACTCTCCAGTTCCATCCACATTGCTACAAAGGGCCATATTTCATTCTTTCTCATTGCCATGTAGTACTCCATTGTGTATATAAACCACAATTTCTTTATTCATTCACTGTTGATGGACATTTAGGCTCTTTCCATAATTTGGCTATCGTTGAGAGTGCTGCTATAAAAATTGGGGTACAAGTACCCCTATGCATCAGTACTCCTGTATCCCTTGGGTAAATTCCTAGCAGTGCTATTGCTGGGTCATAGGGTAGGTCTATTTTTAATTTTTTGAGGAACCCCCACACTGTTTTCCAGAGCGGCTGCACCAATTTGCATTCCCACCAACAGTGCAAGAGGGTTCCCATTTCTCCACATCCTCTCCAGCATCTCTAGTCTCCTGATTTGTTCATTTTGGCCACTCTGACTGGCGTGAAGTGATATCTGAGTGTGGTTTTGATTTGTATTTCCCTGATGAGGAGCGACGTTGAGCATCTTTTCATGTGCCTGTTGGCCATCCGGATGTCTTCTTTAGAGAAGCATCTATTCATGCTTTCTGCCCATTTCTTCACTGGGTTATTTGTTTTTTGGGTGTGGAGTTTGGTGAGCTCTTTATCCTATAGCTCTTGTACCCAGCTCCTATTGGCAGAGTGCTCCTAAGCACTTCTGTTTTGGCACTGACATTTATTTTTGCTCACATTTATTTTTGCTCACATAAACTCACATTTATTTTTGCTCACATTTATTTTTGCTCACATAAACTCCTAAAATATTTAATATGTCTCAGTTTATCTTTTAACAGTATAGACCTTCCTTGACTTACAGTGAGGTTGTGTCTGGATAAACCCATCATATGCTGAAAATACCATAAGATGAAAATACGTTAAGTATACCTAACAAACAGCATAGCTTAGCCTAGCCTACCTTAAATATGCTCCGAACACTTGCATTAGCCTACCTTGGCCAAAGTCATCTAACACAAAGCCTATTTATAATGGAAGGATGAGTATCTCATGTAATGTATTGAGTACTGTGCTGAAAGCGAAAAACAGAATGGTTGTATGAGCACAGAATGGTTGTCAGCATATTGGGTGTATGTCCTTGTGATTGCGTGGCTGACTGGGAGCTGGTTAGTTTGGGATTAACTGTCTTGTTGGAGAGATCCCACAGAGATCCCCAGCCCCCTTCCACCATGTGAGAAGACTACAAATCAGGAAGAGAGCCCTCACTCCGCCAAGCTGGCACTCTGATCTCAGATCTTCCAGGCTCCAGAACTATAAGAAATAAATTTCTGTTGCTTATAAGCCACCTAATCTATGGTATTTTGTTACAGCTGCTTGAACAGACTGAGACACATGGGTCAAATCTGACCTGAATGGCCTGTTCGCCCCAGCAGACCCCAGGATCAAGGTGAGAGAGGCGAGAAGGAAGAACACTGCAGCCTTCTTTTTTCTTTCCACTTCAGGATGTATTTACAGGTATGATATAGAGGGATCAGATGCAACAAGTAACTTCTATCTTCTGGTTTCAAGAATGTTTAATGAAGCCCTGTTATTCCCCTGGCTGCCTCATCATGACAAGAAGGCAACTATGTTGCAACAAGCAAATCTGTCCAGTAATGACCCTGGGAATTCATTCCAGGTAGCATGGAGATTAAGGTGGCAAGAACTAGGGGTATCTACCCTTGTGCCAAGCTTCCCTCCCCTGGCCCTGACACCATCCCCAGAAGGGGCTACAACTTCCCACAGGTCCCAGCATCTCCAGGTGCTGGGCAGCCATGTTTCCCAGGCAACTCCCTAAAGGGCTGCATCTAAAGCCAGAATGCCTGGCACCTAAACACTAGTGTTTGTTTCTAGTAAAGTCAGCCTCATGCCTAACCAATAAGAAGTGTGGAAAGAAATGAAGACAACTCAGCTGAGAACAAACAAGGGTTATCAGAGCTCCCCAAACTTTTAATGGCTGAACCCTTAAAGAAAGATCTGTGTCATTAATACATTACTAAGCTTTAGGCTGAGTGTTTGGGTGATCTCTTTCTGCTTCGTCGTACTTCTCACAAAAGGTTTAAGGTGCCAAGCCAACCTCCCTAAAATGTACAAATGTATCATGCAAGTGTATTGCCCTAGACTTCAGAGAGGATAAAAAGAATTTCTTTGAGGTCTTCTTCACTCAATTACCTATGAATCCTCACTAAGCTCTTTGCCTCCTTAATGGAAAAGTCTATTTATACTCCTACTGATAAAGATTCTCTAGGAATCTTTTAGACAGTGGGTACACGTACTTCACCTAGAAGCTAGTTTAGGGATTGTACATAACAAATATTACTTCCCCACTGCCATGTATATGTAATAATTTGATCCTTTACATTGCTGAATATAACCCCATACAGCCCAGACTTTACTCAAAGACTGAGTACGTGATCTGAGTGTTGTTAATAATTTAAGTCTGTAGTTAGTATCTTCCATGGAAGACAAAAACTTGTCCTGGTGATCCTAGGTAGCTAGAAGTTGCCTTGTTCCTTAAGAGGAAATGGTCTTGAAGAAAGTAAAATTATACTATCACCTATGAACAGTACTGGACATTATTAGAATCAACAGAATCAAGGGAACCACACTGGAAAAGGAGAGAAAAGAATCAACTAGCATCTTTTAAGTAATTGTTGTGTGATCCTTTCTATTTCTTAGTCCCTGTTAAGCTGTGTGTTCAGTCTTCATACCCGAAGTTTTTGAGCCTATGGCTAACCCAAAACATGCTTCTGTTTGACCTCAAGGACTTTCTACTTTGCTTTAATCCCTTCCGTGATTGGTAATATCAAGACTCTCTGTCCAGGGTTAGTCAGTGTGGTTGACCTAAAATGGATCTCTCTGATTTTGTAAAACAAAAATGTATATGGCTATTTCGTCCTAACCAATGTTTGGGGTTTTTTGTTTTTTGTTTTTTTAGTCAGATTTTTTTTTCTCGTTGAACAATTTCCTCTTTATCATGGAAAGTAAATGAGGCTATTCTAATTTTACTTCAAGTTCAGAGCTCTTTATTACATATTTGCAAAATTCTTCATGGTGGGTGTGGCCAAATACCACCCAGACTATTCCCTCTTTTGTCTTTTTCTACTACATGCAATAGACAGAGGATCTTGTCCTGATGCCATCTTCCTGAGAAGATAATCTGGATAAGTGAACATGAAGAGAGTAGAGGGAGAGTAGAGCCCAGGCCAGATTCACCCTGGACTACCTCATAGTCCTGAGTGTATGGAGGAGAGGGCATGTGGTTCATTCACCATTAAGCTTTGAAGGGCCCCTGCAATTCAGGAATTCACACAGGGGACTATGGCAGTGAACAGAGCAGGAGCTCAATGGAGGTGTCACTTTGTACACAACGGGGGACGAGTGCTTCGGCTGTGGCCAGAGAGGCTGTCTGCTCAGCCTCTCTGAGTGTAGCTTTGATATAATTTCAGAGAACCAGCTTCAAGTAGTGGGTTGTGGGTTCAGCTTTTGGCTTTGTCCAGCAGAGCTGAGGACGGCAAAGGACTAGTCAAGACTCCATGCAAGTCAAGAGAGGTGAGCAAGAGGCTATGGGAAGTCTCCCCAAGCTGATCTCAAGCTCCCGTACTTATTAAACATACATTCAGGGAAACAATGTGCAATAAATTGGTGGGCTACATGCCAGTAAGAACGTATTGAAAATGTACAGAAAAACAAATTAAGACAGGATAAAATATTCTATGTGACAACATGGTCTAAGGAATTTGTTAGCATAGGCAGGACCCAACCTCTAGATATATGTGAACTAGATAAGTGAAGTATGGCCCGCTGTTTTCAGCAAGTCCAGAAAGCAGTGTTCTGCTTTGCAGTGCATTCCCTGTAATCTCCCAACCCAGGATATAGCTATTTGATTTCCCACAGTGGGTGTGATGTTCTATAGCCTTAAGGAGATGTATCTGAGTTCTAGATCTTGGGGCAAAGCAGGAGGAACCAATGTTAGTCCTTTGGACAGGAAATGCTTCACAAAGACTTCTGGGGATTACCTACAGAAGGAGGAACCCCGGGAGGAACAAAAGCCATTTTAACCACTATCAAGACAGGGACTCCAGCAGTTTAATCAGAACATTGACAGAAGATCGGGTGCCTGGGTGGCTCAGTCAGTTAAGCGTCTGACTCTTGATTTCAGCTCAGGTCATGATCTCGTGGTTCATGAGATATAGCCCCACATTGGGCTGCTTGGGATCCTCTCTCTCCCTCTCTCTCTGCCTCCTCCCCACTCATGTGCTGTCTTTCAAAAATAACATTGAAAAAAAAAAAGAACATTAAAATTTGTTGAACTCTCTTGTCTACTGATGGCCTCCCTCCCCTTTTCTTCATCAGTCTGGTTTACCTGAATAGAGTATTGCCTTAAAGAAAGGTGAACTTGGTAAGTTGAATGCCTGGGAAAATCTGATCTATGAATCTGGGTCAAGTTAGAGTACACGATTCTGCAAATCAGTGTGTTGTACATACTGGAGGGCTGGGACTAGGATGATATGAGTGAGGCACTTATTCATTGCGTTGGGTGCAAAATTTAAGGGGACATGCACCAATTGAGTCAAAATTATTAGAAGTATCAAAATTTATAAGTTTATTTATTTTGAGAGAGAGAGAGAGCATACGTGGAGAGGGATAGAGAGAGACAGAGAGAGAGAATCCCAAGCAAGCGCTATGCTGTTAGTGGAGCCCGACGTAGGGCTTGATCTCACGAACTGTGAGATCATGACCAGAGCTGAAACCAAGAGTTAGATGCTTAACTGACTGAGCCACCCAGGCTCTTAAAAGTATCAAGATTTTAAATAAAGACAGGACTAGTGACAGAGCCATTCTAAGCCATATTGAAGTCTGAAGCAATAGGAAAAATTGGTAATACTGATTCTCTTTATTTAAAATTTTAGTATTGTGTTTATCATAGATTTTTTGTATAATTTTTTATTTAAAAAATATTATATTCACATATGATGGATCTTGATTAATGAGATTTTTGGAGCCCCTTAAATTTTGTGCAAGCCAGTGAGATTGAAGGAGCTGGCACAGGGGGACCTGGGTGGCTCAGTCAGTTAAGCCTCCGACTCTTGATTTCAGATCAGGTCATGATCTCATGGTTTATAATTTTGATCCCCTTGTGCGGCTTCACACTGACAGTGCAGAACCTGCTTGGGATTCTTCCCCCTCTCTCTCTGCCCCTCTCCCATGTGTTCATTCTCTCTCTCTCTCTCTCAAAATAAATAAACAGGAAAAGGAAGGGAGGGAGGGAGGGAGGGAAGGAGGAAGGAAGGAAGGAAGGAAGGAAGGAAGGAAGGAAGGAAGGAGGAAAGGGAGGAAGACCTGGCACATAAGTAAGTGTTTGCAAAGTATAAGAAGTTTTTTATGACCAATCAAGAAATTGTCACTCTGCCATTTCCTAAAATATTTCCTTCATTCACAAGGTTGAGGATGGCTCACTATACAAAGGCAGAAATTTACCTACTTGTCTCTTCCCACTTAATCTACTTCTGGTCCAGTCTGGGGATGGGAAAGGTCAGAAATGCAGAAGCACAGTATCTGGACATTACAGGAACTAAAATGCTAAATCATTGAATGAATAAATACTTGCAATGTCGATACCACTACCAATAGTGCATAAACTAGACTCATGTATAAATAAGGCAGAAAATGAAAAATTATGAAACCTATGATCAAAATCTATAGTTCAAAAACTGCTTGTAAGCACAATGGTTCAGTTATAGCCAGTTCTATGGAAAGTAAGAACTGGGCACTTATATCAGAACCTTTGGTATATCTTTTTTTTTTCTTAATTATATATATTTTATGCATGGTAAATGGTAAAAATTTTTCATTAAAAATTTTAAGCACTCAAAAGAAATCGCAAAGCTGACATACAAATGGCCACCAGTGAAACAGAATTGATTGAAGAAACAGAAAAGTGGTTTAATAGTTTAAATTTATCCTTGAATTTGAAAATATAAAATATCAGGCAAAAATAAAAGTTATTCAGGGTATTAGAAGTAAAAAAGCTAACAGTATTAAATACACACTAAAGAGAATAAATATCAGAATAAACACTGCTTAAAAATGCAAATTAGAAGAATATCAAGAAAAATTCATCAAGAATTTCTAAATTCATCATCTTGAAGATAATCTTCTACCAAATGCTATCTACTAAAATTCAGTGTCTTTCTGAGAAAGACATGGAAAATCCCATTGCTTGATGGAGGGCATCTTTCAGAAATAACCAGTATATAACAGAGATAGTCCTAAGTAAGGAAAAAAATTAAGTTGCCTTTAATTACCACTTAAACAGTATTCTGGAGGTATTTAATGTAATAAGGAGAAAGAAGTAATGGATAAAGAAGTAATAAATTCTAAGAAGGTTGTCAAATATTGGTTCCCTAGACAATATAAGGAAACAATGAATAAACTACATTAACCAAGAACAACTAAAGTATTAAATCAAGTAG